TGTGGGTGAGGATTTCAAAATCTGAAGCAAGGATGATTATAGGCCTGTGTAGAAATTTACAGATGTGAGATGGAGGTGGTCAGCTATGCTCAGTTTGGCAGATGTCAGCATTCTTACATAACCCACCTTACATAAATGCTCAGTATTGTTCCTATTATGAGTCTTGAGACTTACTCATTAGGAGGGCCAGTTGATTAAAGCTGCTGCAATGGTGTTTCTGCTTCCTACATTAATCACATTAGAGGTGACATCTTTCAGAACACATTTAAGATTAACCTGGTCAGGCATTACAAAATAGTCTGTTGGAAGCCTTTTAATTGTACTGGTATACACACTGGAACTGCTTCATACAGGGTTATGAATATCATGCTGTGCATATTCTCATGTTTAGTGCAGAAAAATCTAACATTTTACTTACAACAAATAGAATACTAGTTTGACTATTAAATATATATTAAAAAGTATTATTGACTAGTTTTATTTGCTATGAGTAAATTCAGATATCAAAAGTTGAATTTATATATTTTTTAAATGCATACGATTTATTGTGAGGACTTCTTGAATGTTTAAAACTCACCACTAGCTTTACATAAATCTGTGGAGCTCTGCTGTTTAGCGCACCTCAAAATCTCTGTGGTTATTTGTGGTCCCATTTCAAAACCTTATTGACAAGTTTAATTCAGGTCCTTATGGAGAAGTGCTCATGAACAATATTGTGGCCTTGAAATGGAAACAGACTGTTTTTGTTTTTTTTGAGGAACTGAATCCACCACCTGTGTTGCAGTGCTGTGACATTTATTCAAACAAAGAAAGGAAAAACACAGTAGCTCTGGTGGCTTATGGACATTAAACATGCGGACACTGCAGAGAAATGTCTGCAACTATAGGGCAGATACATCAGTATAGCACACTGCAAATTGGTGAGTTTTTCCCCCCCTTCTTTGACTGCAAGAAGCAGCTTGGCATATCTAGCATTCTCTCGTTCAGATTGTGAAAGAGTTTGATGTGATGCTTCTTACTAGATATAGATTTTTAAAACCTGTTTAAACACAGGTTTATTGCTTTATGTGCGCGCACACACACACACACACACACACACACACACACACACACACACTTCCATTCAAAAGTCAGGGGTTAGTAAGATTTTTCTTTTTTTAATTATTCAACAAGGATGCATTAAATTGATTAAAAGTGACAGTAATGACATTACAAACTATTTATATTTCAGATAAATGCTGTTCTTTTGAACCTTCAATTCAAAGAATGACAAAAAAATATAAATTAAGCACCACAACTGTTTTCAACATTGACAATAATAAATGTTTCTTAATGATCAAATCAGCCTATTAGAATGATTTCTGAAGGATTATGTGACACTGAAGACTGGAGTAATTGCTGCTGAAATTAAAATATTTAATGATAATAAAATGTTTTAAAATAAATTAAAATAGAAAACAGTTACTTTAAACTGTAATAATATTTATAGATTACTGATGTGACAATTTTGCTTATTTTTTATCAAATAAAGAAGCACGAGACTTCTGTCAAAAAACATTTAAACTTTTGAATGGTAGTGTATATGTTTGGTCACTGTGTGAACCCCTATATGCTTCTTGTGTTTCTTTCTAGTATTATATAGTAGTCTTTGTGGTTTCTGCAACCTCTTTGAAAATCTAGATTTCATAGTTTTTTGGAGAAATTTAAATGATAGAAATAACCTCTTTTTACACTTTAAAAAGAACTCGAATTGTGCACCATTTCCTTTTTCTGTTTAACAATTGGAGTTTTCATCAAACAGAGGAATCATTCTCTGATTATGGGAAACATTCACATCAACTGTGGTCACCGTTTTACACTAGTGTTTAAACAAACTATCAAGCCCTAAAAATGACAAAAAAAGCACCCTAAAAGTCCATACAACCCAAACGCTATATTCCAAGTTATCTGAAAATATTTGGAGCATATCATACGAGGTTTATAGACTACTTTGAGGCTTTTTGGTCATTTCTGGATCCCAAAATGCATCCCTTGATTATTGTATGTTTTCAGTGTACGGAAAAGAGCAGTGTGAACGTACTACTTAACATCTCCTTTTGTGTTCCACAGAAGAAAGTGAGTCATACAGGTTTAGAAAAACATGAGGGTGAGTAAATGACAATTATCACTTTTTAGGTGAACTGCCAGAAAGTCTCTGGTATCGCCATCAAATGCTTTAACGTAAACAGGGCTGCATAATAAAACGCAGAGGAAAAGAAACACTGAATTCTATATTCAAACCAACCCTATGGCTTACCCCTACCTGGTGACTAACCTTTATCTTAACCAAAAACATTCTAATCTGCCCTCATACCAACATGTAATGAACTTGAAGCAGTCCATGAATCACAGCATCTCCAATCACAGATCTGATGTGGCCTTGTCCAGATCGCTTACGTACTGCATGTCAAGAAAAGAGAAGATGGGAGAGTAGTGAAAGAGCCAATAAGAAGAAGAGGCTGCGAGGCTCTTATTGTGTAAGGCAGGGGTAGACAGATAGTCCCGCCGCCAGCCCGACAGGCCACACTGAACCAGTTTCCATGACAACAGAATTCTAATGACTACACCCCTGGCTTTTGCTTTGAGGGAGAACGATGCTACTGGATCTCAGTGTCACACCTTTTCTTTTTCACAATAAATGTCACAGACTCTCATCATGGGCGTTTGTATCTGACGGTGCTCCTGATATACAGCAGCACAAGCCCTCAGTCAGACGGTCCAAGTCATAATTTTTTGGTCCTGTCCTCCCCCATCCCCCATCCAACCTGCTCATGCTCTCCCCTCTGTGATCTACCCATGTGACCACAGCCAGCTGTTCATTGGCTGGCACCACCAAGGCATCTGTCCAATCGATGCTGTTCGCTCATATAAACATAAGCAAAGCAGCGTTCTTATGATTCAGAACAGAGTCTTTCTTTCAGTGAGGAGTCAATGGGAAATTACTACACTGGGTTGTACTACTTTGTTTGTCCTCGTTCTTGTCCTGTACCTACAAGCAGAGGGGATCTTCTCCTTTTGAGAGAACTATTCTGGCTGTAGGACCATCTGCTTTTACCTGCATTACTTCACTCTCGCCTTATTGACACTGTGACCAGCTAACAGTGTTTATGGTTCAGTCCTTTTCGATATACACATGCAATTTCAGCACTGACACACTGGACATGGCTGTGACACGTAAGTACAGCAAGCCTTTGAATGACACAGTAAGCTGAGAATCACATGAGTAGTCGAAGAACTGAATGATTGGGTGATGTTTTGTTATTGTTTTGTTACTGGCAACACTGCATGATCATATAGAGCAGATTAGAATGGAGTTAATGTAAACAAATAATATTAATATTTCTAATAATAATAATAATAATTCTAAAGTATTGTACATTTATTTCATGTTTTTGTAATGCATCACAGGGCAAGGATACCATTATATAAATAGATCAGGTCTGAGCTTTACTATACAAACCCCTAAATTATATCTGCTTTTGTGTGTGTGTGTGTGTGTGTGTGCGTGCACGCGCGTGCGTTTTGGAATATAAACATAACTTCTGATTATTATTCATATTTAAGGACTCCCTGCTTTTTGGTATAGGGAGTCTATTTATAGCTCGTGTCTCCAATAGTCTTTAATGAAAATAATGAAACTAATCTGAAGCATTGTGGAAAAAAAGCTAACTGTAGCCATATATTAAAATGTTATATATTTTATATCATACAATTAAAAATTGCCTTACTTGATCCTTATGATCAAACAATTAAATGATCTTGCAATAAAAACATAAGTATAAGCACTACAGACCTTAGCTGAGAATTTTCAAGTAACTTCCCGAGGGACATATATTATTTTATTATTATTAATATATAATTTTGTTAAGCTGTGTTATACAGGAAAAATATCCTGACATACTCTGTATGGAATATTTACAAATGTAAAATGGGCCATTTATTTAATTTACTGTATTGTTGCATTTCCAGCAAAGTATATATTAATATACATTTTTCTACACAGCATATTTAGTATATTACAACTTGACACATTTTTTAGTTTACTTGGTCTTGTTTTATTGACAGCCTAAGGATATTTCCCTCCTTTAACTCTAATCAGAGTTCAACTATATCATGATATACCAGAATAAACAGATATTTAGGTTTTATGTTTTCAGATACTGATTCTTGAGTCACTAAAATATATTTCCAGAGTGCCATCCAAATGCTTAAGTACACACTTAAGTGTCAATTGCATTAAAAAGAAAGCATCGTCTCATACACTATAAAGAATAAAACTTACTTTTCATTTTAAATTTAAGTGTAAAAATCAAAATGTTGAAAGTTAGAACTTTGAATGAAAACTGCATTGCACTTTTTTGACCACCATGAATTTACTTATTGATGAAGAAAATCTCGAACTGAGTAGAAATCGTGACAATTTAAATGGAAATAAACAGATACTGTAACATAATAGAAACATTTTGTACAGTGCAATAAGACAAAAACACACAGAAACCGAGCAACTAACCATAACCAATGTGTCCCTCTCTACAAACATTAGCTGGCCCACTCTCTTCAGTGCACTATGTCAGCATGTTTCTCCCCAGGCTCTGACTGTGTCACAGCACTGTTGGAGATTAGACTGACAGGGCCTTAATCCCATAGAGTTCCTCAGTTTCCCCAGTACTGTGCCAGGCCAGTACCCAACGGTCACACAAACGCATGCAAGGTCTGAGATAAAGAAAAACTCCATTAAGCCACACAGATAAAGCATTATATAAGAGAAGACTCAAACTGAATAATCTGCAGTGTAGCCAACAGCAAATCACCTGATAACTCACAAAACACTTCTCAACAGCAAACTAGAATGACAACTGGTGAAGCCTCCAGGCCATCAAGCCAAAGAAAATCACTTCAAGAACAAAGCAAAAAGATGTGTCGATTCAGTTATTTGAATGACTATGTCTGCACCTCTGCAGGCGGAGAAAAAACAGAAAAGGTACGCCACCCAAAGTGTCAGAGATGTTGAGCCAGGATGACCCCAAATCACGCCCAATGCTGTAAGTACATCCTCTTACAGTCTAGAAACCACACATTCAGACTTCAGAAATAAAGCAATACACTGCTGGTTTTGACTGTCCTGTCAGACATCAGTTTCTTGTTTAGTTCTTAATTAATTTTCCTTAATGCATCTTATGGTGAGAGCTGGCCATTAACTTATGGACTAGCTACCATATTCCAAAAACTTTTTTTCCATTCCATTGTGATCTTTAAAAACATTTTTTTCTGTAAAACACCACTCTGCTTCATGCTGCTTTTCATTTTTATAAAACGCTGTGCCGCATTAAGAGATTCAACTTTTAAAGTCAGCATGAAACGGAAGCTGCAATGGTCTTCCTTATTGTGACGTATATCTAGGGCTGCACGATTAATCAAAAAACGGAAATCGTGATATGGCTCAGTGCGATTATCAAAACGCAAAGGCTGCAATTTAATGAAATAGATGCGCTGCATGCTTCAGAGTGAAGCGCAGCACTGTGTTCTTACACGTGAGCGGCTCATGATCTGCAGGTGTTTCCAGTGTCTCGGAACAGCTCGGTTCATAGTAAACGCAGAGATGGAGTTTGTGTGGAGCAACACCTGCTCTGAGTTTCAGTTGCCTAAATATGCATTGGGGAACATATAAGGTGCCAACCATCCTCCCATACATGTAATAAGAAGTGCTTAACAAAAGAGCTTTAAGGGCTTCAGGCAGTTTTCTGTCAAAAAATTTTTCCATGAGAAAAATCGTGGAAAAAAAACACGAGAAATAAAGAGATTAAGACAAAAATATTATTGTAATTTTACAGCTGTAATATAAAAATATATATTTTTTCTTAAATACTCAATTTTATTTTACAGTGAATTTTTTTATTTTAATAATAATAATAATAATGTATTATTATTATTATTATTCTCACAATTCTCAGAATTGTAAGAACAGTCAGAATGAGATGAAAAGTCACAACAATATGTATTATCATTATTATTTTACAGTCATATTGATATTCAAGCCAAATTGTGCAGCCCTTACATTTTTCCCCCCCAAATTATGCAGCCCTATGTATAGTATGAAACGTATGGAAGCCCATTTTTGCAACAAATAAATACATAAATAAACAAATAAATAAATAAATTTAAGTGTGACTTTTTAATCTCACAATTTTGACTTTTTCCTCATAATTCTAAGTTTCTTTCACAATTCCAAGAATAAAAGTCAGAATTGTGAGATATAAACTCGCAATTGCAAGAAAAAAAAGTCAAGAATGTGAGAACTTAAGTCACAATCACCTTTTTAAATTTTTTTTTTTTATTCTGATGTGGGAGAAAAAAAATTAAGATGTAAACTGAACTCAGTTCAGAGAAAAAAAATCTGAATTCTGAGTTTGTCTCACAATCTTGGAAACAAAAACAGAATTGTGAGATATAAACTCAGAATTGTGAAATCATGAGTAAAAGAAAAAAAAAGATGTGCACACTGCACAGATAAATCATTTATAATAAACACTGCAATATTCCATAAAAATACAAATTGTCAATTTGATCTCATGGTGACTTTAAAATTTTGTTTTAAAACCTTGGTTTCTTTTTTCATTCCGCTGCTTCTCACATTTTTAAAAGAAAGAGTGCATTCTTAATGATGGCATGAAGAGCCACTGGTTTGTTGCTGGTACAAGGTAATGTGTCTGATTTCAATTTCCAAAGAGAACTACGAGAAAAGCTCCAGCCAGAGGTGATCGAGCTGATTAAACAGCAGAGGTTGAACCGCCTGTGTGAGGGCACACGCTTCAGGAAGATCAGTGCTCGTCGCAGACAAGGTCAGTTACTCATTCAAAATCAGGATACAATCACATGTGCACAGGTAAACTTATTCATGCATCACAGATTCAGAAAAAGAATTTGATGTATCTGATCACAGATGCATAGATGTAATGTTTAGCTACCACTAACAAAAACATCACATCGAATTCATTGATATCTGATATATATATATATATAAGTTAAAGGAGGATACTGTATTTAAACTCTTCCTATTAAGCCTAATGTCTATTCATATTATGCACATTTTTTTATAATCTACTCAAATATAGGGAATCACAGTCTATAGTTTCCCCTGAGTATACTTTATCCTAATGCTTGGTCTGTTTGATATTGCATTAAATTAAAACACAACTTAAAGATATCATTATATTAAAAGGATAATCTCATTCAGTATTTGGGACTCACATGCAAATGCTCTCTCTCGCTCTAAAAAAAAAAGAAAGAAAAGAAATCAATATTATTATTGTGCCCTCTTTACTTCTTCATGTTTATTTCCAAACCTACTGATATGAGATATTCATCAAGTATTCAGCATGAAAGGGCAGCCAGTTAGTCACAAGCACAGACTTAATGATGCTTTTAATCAAAAGTGATTTTCTCAGGTCACTGCTGCTTTAATTAAAATCTGATTTTCATTTACAGTGCTGTTGACGTGCTAGTGGAAAAAAATAAAACTATAAAATCTAATTGGAATGGATCATTATGAGGACAGTAAAAAGCAAGTTGCAAGAAAACAGCCAAACAACAACTTGCACAGTACATAACATGCATATTCTTATCTGTATCTATCTCCCATCATCTCCTCTAGACAAATTCTGGTATTGCCATCTGTCACCAAACCACAAAGTGTTACACTATGGAGATATAGAGGAATTCTCACAAGGACAAATATCACACGACTCTCTCCAGGAGAAAGGTGAGCAACACAATTCTTGATTATAATTGACATAGTTGTAAATGAAAATTACTGTCTTTTTTTTAATCTATAATGACTTGTATTATTCATCACGTTGATTGTTGACATCATATTGACCCACAAGCTTGAGTCGGACTAGCGCTAAACATGCTCATTTTAGACAATCATAGTAAAATAGAATATCATTTCTACTGTTCTAAATGTTCTAACTCTACATAACATTTCTTCTACGTCCAGTGACAGTAGCAGATATCAAAGCAGTGGTTATGGGTAAAGACTGCCCACACATGAGGGAGAAAGGAGCACTTAAGAATAAGGTAAGAATTAATTATTGCAATAGGCAACTAATCTCACCAGACAGGACAGGACTAGGTGTAGTGGATCCAAACTCAGAGCACGCAAGGCAGGCTGATTTTACTGAAGAATGTTGCAGAGACAAATTACAAGCTTCAACTCAAGATGATAACTAGTTAAAAAAAAAACTATAGGCAGAACAATGCAAGAGTACAATGGTGGCTTCAGACACATCAACATCTGAAAACAATTAGAAATTAATCCAGCAATGCCAATTAAGTCCAAATGACGCCATCTAGTGGTTAGATGTGGATAAAGGACTAATGGAGTAAACAAGGTAAAAACGTGTTCTATATGAATGGCCCCTTACTCTCTTATTGACCATCCATGTCAAAAGGTGTCTTTCTGGACTTTCAAAAAAGAAAAATATATTGTTTATAGTTAAAGCTGAGTTAGCTATTGTTTATAGTCAAAGCAAACAGTAGGCATAATGACATGAGATAACACTGTTGTAGGTAGGCTAGGTTATATTTGCACACACAACACACACAGACACACACACTAGGGTACCTTCAACGTAACGTATGACTAAAGTGCTGTGGATGCATTATGTGTGGATGTTTATGTATTGATGACAAACCTGCCATATTCAGGGCATTAGAAGAGCCAGCCGACACACCTACTGTATATAGGCTAATTAAAAAAATAATAATAATAATTTACGGCCAAAGAAATTTACATGAATTGTTTGAGTTTTCAGTTTGCTTCATTGCAATACAAAAAAAAAAAAAAAACGCTTACCGCGAAATAACTTCTGAGTGCACGGACCGCACGCAATAACAACAACGTGATCAGCCTAGACCGATTCACGAACAAATGACTCATATTAATAGGTTCTTTTCATTGAATCAAAAGTATACAACCCACCTAACTACTGTTGTTGAATTCTCGAATAAATCGCCTAAATAATGAACCGGTTATTTTAATGAAAAGTTCAAAAAGATGATTAACGCGTTTGAATTAGTCTGACGAATGCTTAACTGAGCAGAGCGGTGAATAAATCAACACGCTTTATTTTCGAGATGGTCCTCACTGCAGAACACAAGATCCAGATCCAACTCCTCCCACCTTACATATACCTAAACCCACCCATCTCCACCCCTAAACCTACCCATCTCCACCCCCTAGATGTGGATCCAACCCCTTCGTTCTGCAGCGAGGGGCTACTGTTTTTTCCAGGAACGTCTGCTGTCCTTTTTGAAATGATGCACGTTTTTGTGTCATTATTATTTATGTGAAAGATTTACATTTGCCTATAAATTTGTAATAATTGAAGGGACATTCTTCTCTTACATCTTATTTTTATAGCTTGATCAGTATCAGCATTTTACAGTTCTACGTTGTCCTTGTTGGAAACTCGACGCTCCAGCTGAGGAGGGTGTAGCGGTGACAGAAGCCACCTGTTGTGCAAAGGCACCTGTAGTAAAGTGCAAATGGAAGTTGTGGGAGAGGAAGCGAGGTCAGGTACTTTGGGCATGCAGATTATTCTTCCTCTGCTTTTCAGGAGCTGCTGGAGCTGTCTTTTTCCATTCTTCATAACTCTGATGAATATCTGAACTTCATTGCTCCGGACAAGCATAAAGTGAGTATATCACAGCATACAAGGCGAGGACAGTCGACATTTTACATCGACAGTCGACATTTTACATTACATATAAAATGTATTTTGGTCTCGTGGAAAGATAAAGAACCTTTGTTTTTCATAAGATAATATCACCTAATCATGTAGACATCAAAGCCATTATTAAAAGTATTTTTAATACTCTGATATATCACTCAAGCGCTACTTGAATTCATGCATAATCCTTAATAATACTCTATTATATACACCATTTTTTTCACTAGTACTGCATTTGGACTGATGGCTTGAATGCTCTTTTGGGAAAAGAGATGACAAGTGAGCTCACAAAATCAGATATGGACACTCTGGTTACTACTGAGCTGAAACTTCGCCTCTTGGACCTCGAAAACATTCAGATTCCTGACGTCCCGCCTCCTGTTCCCAAAGAGCCCAGCACTTATGACTTTGTTTACGATTTTAGCCAAAAGCACACTTGAGACTGGAATAAAGTCCTTACTCGTGCTGAAAATCAGCTGTAAAGAGTGCTCACTTTTTCTCTTTTTGGTATTTGTGTTTCCTCACTTTCCTCTCGTATGGACAGAACAATGTTCAAATCATACATTTTCCTCTAGATTGTGACTATGATGTGATGCTCATTGAATGCCTCTCATGACTTTACTGTTCTGCAAAGAGGAAAAACTCACAGTAACATTCTTTTCAGTCATCAGTTTTAATGAACATTCAACTTGGTATCATGCAACCCTTTTGTGTAAGTAAAGTGCATATCTACATAAAATACGGAGCATGGATTAAAATACAATTCAGAAGCTACATTAAGTCATGAACACATACACTGAACTCACATGACTGTTTCAAATAAATGTGCTAGTCATTGGACAGAAGGATGATTTCAGAGTAATCAAGTCAACTAAATCACACTCAACATCATTAAAGTGCCACTTAATAAATTATTTCTAATTATTTCCAATTAACACAAATTATTTTAGCCTTTAAGATAAAAAGGCCTTTGGTTTGCTTAGTTGGATGCCCCTTCTCTTCCAAAACATAATGACAACCACACTGCCTTCCTGTTCCCCAATATACAGTTTGCATCATATTATATTCTGAGTTGCTCAAAAACTCCACACTAGTATCATTCATACTTGTACAATTCTCGTACAATTCTTGGTCTTATCAATGGTCCTTAAAACAAAACATTTAACCTTTATGCTGTGCTGAAAATCCTTTATCTAATTTGGAGTTCCTGACCAGCCTTTTTCTTTTTTCCAAATGGTTATACCCTGTGTGAGAAAGTATCTCATTCCAATGAGATAACCTTAACTAGCATTTTCAGGAAAAAGAAAAAACCTCCCCGGGTCAAAACGACCAGAACACAACATGAGGAATAGACATCCAAAACACTTCGGACACATCCTAGTGCATTTTATCTACCCAAAGAGACCATTAAGCTTATCATAGTTGCAACACATTAATTCCAGTATTATCTGTTACTATCAAACTATCAGCTTGAAGGAATATTGCTTTTAAAGTTCACTCATATATTATCATAAATTGTTTGTTTTCACTGACATCATATACTATTAAAATATGTCGTGTTACAAAGTTATAGGACATTGTAAAATCAAGTCATAAGTTAACTAAAACTATAAGTTTCACTCCACCCAAATGGAATGTAAAATCATTACATGATTTTAAAACTTTAGTTTAAAACCTTTTAAATTGAAGCATAGCATGTCACCGCAGAACAATGTTGACACTAATTGACATTTTAAAGATCAACAACCCAAATATAATTAGCATGTCTAGTCTTTCATTTGTTTGTTGGAAAAAGACAATATCTGAAATTATATGCCCTATCCAAGTCAAATATTTATTTATATTCACTATTTAAGGTCACATATTAGAGCTTTCTGATAAACAGTTCCAATGAGCAGCTTTCCTCCATATGGGGTTGCCACTGAGGAAGCAATGATCACACTGCCATCATCTGAATATACCTGAGTCACCTGGGGCTTTTCAGACAGGATGTTCTCAATCCTGATAACCTACAGGAGAACAAGGAATTATTGATTTTTACTGTTTTACAACTGAGAGCAAACAGTAAATAATAAAGAAAAAATATGAATATCAATTTGCCAATAAATACAATGATCACATTCTTTACTAAAAATCTATTTGCTGCCAAACACGCACACACCTCAGAGCCTGGCGGATCATTCGGATCACTAAGCATGAATTTGAGACCATTTGGGTGGCAGCCCAGCCACAGATCTCCAGATTCACGGTCCACCTCAATGTTGTCACACAGTGACCCCACATCAACCTCCTGGGTAGGAAAAATTAACATGCAGTTACATTAACAATATTAACAAATCAGCAGTGTGTTCTCCTAAAAAAACTGTCATAATGTGCTTTCATGGTTGTTTAAAGCTAACGTAACTCAAATGTTCAATATGGGATACAAATATCAAGTTTTGTGTTTACCTTTACATGAGACAATACAGTGTTTTTCTGTATTTCCATGACACTAATTTTGTGCTTCAGGATATCTGACACATACAAATGCCTGAAATAAATTAAGTTACTTGTATTAACAACAAGAGGACATGAGAAATGCACTGATAATATTACATTACACTATGCTTTCATCAATAAAAATTCTTGACTTTTTCTGAAACTTGCCTTTTATCGGGGGAGATATTTATGCCGTTGGCAGATGGAAAGCCCCCTGCCACAACCTGCACAGTCTGAGGGGTGTAGTAGACAACGTCACACCAGGACAAAGACAGAAGTGGCTCCATAACCTTGAGAATCTCATTAGTGAAGTAATGGTCATTGGTGGCATAAAAGCTTTCGGTCCCCACAGCTACTATATCATTTACACTAACAAATGCAAATAAATAAACAGGAATTTAATTTCTGATTAGGTTTAGGGTTGCAAAAACATTGGGCCTCATTCATGAAACACGAACAGAACGAATTTTTGTGTAAATCGTTCGTAAAGCTGTTCTGACGTAAATTTTGGGATTCATGAAAGTGTTTGTATTTTACAAATGTTAGTTGGTACACAAAGAATGTACACCTGCTCCCAGCCCCGCGTAAATGGGTTGTAAATCATCCGAACGTTTTGCTCATTGATGGTGCTGCATGTTTATAAAACTATTTACCTTATATAATCACGTATTTATCACGCAGCATTTTGATAAAATAATATACAGTAATTATTCACAGTATACTGCGCTTTCCTTTTTACTATTAGGCCTATTATGAACAGCAGTAATATAATCTGCAAATTTAACACTTTTATCAAATAATTAATTAGCTACTTTTGTTAGGGATGTACCAATTAGTCTCTTAATTATTACGGAAATGGTTTTCTATAAAATGGCCGGAATGAGGCATAACAATAAACATTTCCTATGGCTGATATAGCGCTATTGCTAGATTTGGCAGAAACTTGCAGAGATAATGACTGGTTGATTAACAGATGAAACTGCATTAACAGCATCTGTAATGTGCAGCCAAGCTTCCTTTTTTTTAGGACCTGATACTCCACTATGTTCGCTTAAAAATAAAATGCTGCATTTTGAATGTACTTCCGATAACAAAACTTCAATTTCTGCATCTGAGAAATTTTTCTTTTTCATTCGCTTTTGAGAGGACATGTTGAAATCCTTATTTTTGTTTCGGGAAGGTCTGTTTCACGAGCAAATTACTCAATTTACTCATATATTTACGCAAGTTTCATGAATGAGGCCCATTGTGTTTAAAGAAGCACATACTTGTGCAGGAGTTCATGCCTGATGGTCCTGATGTATTGAAGAGCATTTTCATCCTCAACAAATCGGAAAATCTCCACTTGGCTTTTGCCTTGAGGATGATTAACAACAAACAGATATATGGCACCATCTGTAGTAAGAAAATAATTCATAAACGATTAGACTTCAATCAAAGGTATACCTATAGGGTTTAAAAGTGAAGATCAAATTGACAAATTGTTAAACGTTTTTTGACCACTAGGTGGCTAGTTTTCCTTACTATGTAGTTTTAACATTTCACAAAATAAACTATTTGTGTAGGTATTGTACAGTACATTATACAAAACCATATTACTACAAAACCCATTCATACATTCAAAAGTGTCTACATTCCATAGTGTACATTTAAATATATGAGGAATCACAACTAAACTGCATGCAACCCAGATTAACGCTAGAAATGTATTTATTTAATAAAAATGGCAAACCTTTTACATCGGTGTACACACTGATTCCATGTGGATTAAAAGAGCCCTTGTCAAACTGACCCTTGATGTTCAGTGCTTTAATTTTCAGATCAGAATCCAACAGATTCAGGGAGTAGATCTTTCCAGGGTCATCTGAATAGGACGGTAAGCCTGGATACTTCAAGCCCTGTGTTTAATTAATCATAATTCATTGGAACAGCGTCTGTTTACAACAAGTGCAAAAGGCTCTTTGCACTCACACTGTCCACCACTGCTCAGACAATTTACCCTTAGTATCACTTCTATTTACACTTTGTATGAATACAATAAGATTCTGTATTGATTTACAATTGATGAAAACAGTATCTACCAATATTTACACTATTATACTTAGTATAATTAGCTGCTGGCTTAATATGCAATTTAACAGCTGAACAGACATCATTAGCATTGATTCAACTCTAGCCTCATGCTGCACGTTGGTAATAGAATTTGAATATATCCAGGAATATACCCACACCTTTTGATTAATAATGAAGTATTGTCTGATTAACTAATCAAAATGCTTAATGATAGATTCATGACATACAGTGCTCAGAAAAGCCAATCCATCAAGTATGGTGATATCTTCAGCCCCATACTCTGTTGAAAACACGGAAATAACATCAAAACGTCCTCATTTTAAGTGTTAGAAACATATAAACACGCTACATTTAAAACAGACCAGTCTAAACTGTATATAACTTACCTATGCCCTCTATTATGTGACAGTTAGGAAGGTAGTTTTGTGTTAGTTCTCTGGAGGAAAGTGATAAATGCCTGTGGAAAGGATTGCAATTAAACAAATTTAAACATTTATTATCTTTCGCTTGAGTGTTTAAAAGTTTGCACTCGTAAAAAAAAGGAACGTTAGCAGCAAAGGTCAGAACAGCGTTTAGACAAAGAAAGCCTTTATTGCAATTGAAAAGCTTAACATGCAAAGAAGCAATCGTTATATAAACGCGACTGGAAATATCGACCAACCTAAGTGCAACGAGCCTTTCTCCGATGAATGCTGCCAGAGAAATAACAGCTAACGAGAGTATCGCTAACTTGCCCATAATGTCCGAAACGCTCGTAAACAACGTTAACCCTTATCAGTGTTGTCAGGGTTGCCAGGTCTGCGAAATCAAACCAGACCGATTTCTAATCAAAACTAGCCCAATCGCGTTTTTCCCGCGGTTTCCCCCTTTGTCGGTCGTGCCTTCGGTCGAAATCGCGTTCCGGGGAGATCGCTTTAACCTGCGGTAAAAGTGTAGAAGTACCCCAATTGCGCGGGTAAATCACGGACTTGGCAACACCGTGCCATACCCGCCTTGGATTTAACCCAGAAGTAGCGTGCCTGTACCTCTAGACGGGACGTCGGGTATTTTTTTACAGAATGCAATGCTATTTTTCTGATGTTTTTGGTGTTTGGCCAATATACAGATGGCAGTATTTGCGTTATATTACGTTTTGAGAGTGTCAACAGTGTGTTATTATTATTCATGATGGATCAGCAGTTACACTAGCTGTCAATCACGGGGATTGCAAAATCTTGACAAAATATCTAGACTTCTTGTGCTTGGAAAATGGTTTTTGAAAAGAGAAATCTTAAAATGAAATCATATAGCTTTTTATTTATCTGAATAGGCAGTTGTGCTTATGTTAGTTGAGTCACAGCTTTTTTTCTGTTACTATCAAACAAGTCAAAATGTGATTAACGTGACTGGATTGTAAGGTTCGTTCAGAATATGGTATCAACCCAGTCTGAGAAAACGTAGCTATTTTACAAGGTGACTGTTATATAAGAATTCGTACAATGTGATTTGTATGGAAACGCAAGATTTTTTTTTTTAAGTAGGCCTATGCCTTAGCATGAAGGTCCACCCCTGAACCTAACTGTCAGTGGGGCATAAGCAAATTGTACGAAAACGTAAAATAAAATGACATACAAATTCATATCAATAAGAAGCCTAACTATTATACATTTTCGTTAATTGGTAGCTAAGTTCAATGAGAGTGTGTTGGTAAATGTTAATTTGTGTTGCATGTACATCATAAATTGATAAAATATTTTTTTTTTACCACAATCAACTCAAGAAATAAAATCAAGTGTCAGACAGATACTGAAAACATATGGTAAGTCAAGTTTTACTTGTTTAACTTAAAGTTCGCATATCTAGTAGATTGTAGTTTGTAACCCAATTAGTCTGTGTTAAGCCAAATTTATATCATGTGGAATGATTTTTCACATTTGACCATACCCTGTTGCCTTTGAAATTACTCTATTCAGACTCAATTCTTTCAAACACTTGAGTCAATATTTATTCTTCCCCGTAAGTGAGTATATTCACAAATTATGGTCACATATCAGAGCTTTCTGATATACTGTTCCAATGAGCAGCTTTCCTACATATGGGGTTGCCACTGAGGAAGCAATGATCACACTGCCATCATCTGCATATACCTGAGTCACCTGGGGCTTTTCCGATAGCATGTTCTCAATCCTGATAACCTACAGGAGAACAAGGTTATATTATAGATTTGTAACCCAGAGAAAGCTGGGAGTAGACAGGAAATAGTGAGAAGAGAAAGGATACGAGATTAGAACATGTTGAGAGCCAGACTCAAACACGACAGCTCATCATATTTGAGCATGGGCACTAAACAGTAAACACTACACAATACACATACTCACACACCTCAGAACCAGGTGGATCATTTGGGTGGCAGCCCAATCATAGATCTCCAGATTCATGGTCCACCTCAATGTTGTCATACAGTGACCCCACATCAACCTCCTGGGTAAGAAAAATTAACATGCAGTATTTTTAACAATAGTAGACAGAGTAGATGGTTCTACTAACTAAAAGACTACTAAATTGTTTCATGTTTGTTGCATTTGAAGCCAACACAACTTACAATTGACCTATCGGTTAGCCCCGCCCCCCTTAGTTACTGTTGCGAACTCTGACAAACGGAGTTGCTTGCACATTGACAGGTGTCAGTGTGAAAACCTTGTCCCAAGAAGTTTTTGACAAATTTTGGACACAGAAGGACCACCATTCAAGAGGGATATATAAAAGATTTAAAAATAAATATTGTGGGTATAAATTTGGAAGCGAGGGTTCACAGATCACAATGCAAGCGGGAGAAGCCTCATGTTATGGTCGTCACGATCGCAGATGACAACATCCAGGATCAACACTGTTCATGTACCGAAGGGTAAGATTAAATTAATTTACATTTATCCAGTTTAATATGGAGTGGCACTGAAATGTAGACCTTCGTTTATGTGTTTTTGACCTAAGCTGTACATGATGGGTCGCCGTGATTTTGCCAAGTAAGACATGTTCCTGGATCAACATCTTTTGTTGATCCTGGATCAACATTTCTGTCCAAAAATATAGACCTAACCCAATACCTACCCCTAAACATAACCCTACCCATAATTTATTCCTAAAATCAGAGGGAAATGATAGGTGAATAACAAGGGTGTAGAAGCATCTAACCCTGATTGTAAGCCTAAAACTGACATTTCTTGGAAAACGTATCCCTCGATTCTGATTGGTTGATTGGTTGATTGGAATGTTGTTCCACGTTCACCGTACATGATGTGAGAACAGTTAGCTATTTAGGTTGGTGGTACGTTATATGTACTCGCTAACTTTAACATTAATGTTAGCTAGTTTTAGCCAGAGATACCTTGCTGAAGCACAAGATGACATTAACATTCTGCTTGAGCACATGAAAATTGTAACTTAATGAGAGTATGACAACCAGAAAATGAATGTTTTCGTCTTCATTAGGATTGTTGAATGCTTAGGGACATTTTTGGATTTAGGAAATGGAATAAAATAAATTCCATTGCCCATCCTCTCAGGATACCTTGAATCAGTGTTGAAGTAACCCAGGCACACCATTTTTCTATTTTTGTAGCATAAACACCACCATCAAACCGATGAGAGCTTTGGATCTTCCAGTGTTTCTCTATGGCGCTGCCGCTGAAACCTAAAGATGTCAGAGTTCCGGTCCCTGTGCAACTGATACTGAACTGCCATTGGCTCATCTGAGTTCGATGGGAGGGGCTTACCAGTAGGTCAATTTTATACTTTAATAAATCAAAAAAAAAAAAAACATTCTGTTTGGGATAAAATAAGGTGTGAACATTTATGTAGTTTGGTGTTTACCTTAACATGAGACAATACAGTGTTTTTCTGTATTTACAAGACAACAATTTTGTGCTTTAGAATATCTGCCACATACAAATGCCTGAAATGACATGTTAATTGTATTAATAACAAATAAACATGACATAATTCTACAATAAATGATTTGATAATATTACATTATGCTGTGCAAATCTTGATATTTTTTTCTGAAACTTGCCTTTTGTCGTGGGAGATGTTTACGCCGTTGGCAATCAAGAAATCCCCTGCCACAACCTGCACAGTCTGAGGGCTGTAGTAGACAATGTTACACCTGGGCAAAGACAGAAACGGCTCCACAAACTTGAGAATCTCATTAGTGAAGTAATGGTCATTGGTGGCATAAAAGCTTTCGGTCCCCACAGCTACTATATCATTTACACTAACAAATGCAAATAAATAAACTGGAATTTATACTTTAGGTTTAGGGTACATTATAGCAATATTGTGGTTTAAAGGAGCACATACTTGTGCAGGAGTTCATGCCTGATGGTACTGATGTATTGAAGAGCATTTTCATCCTCAACAAATCGGAAAATCTCCACTTGACTGTTGGCTTGAGGGTGATTAACAACAAACAGGTATACGGCACCATCTGTAGAGAGAGAAGAATTTATACACGATTAGGTTCTATCACGATATATAATATAGTTTTAACATTTCACAATAACTACTTCTTATGTGTGTAGGTATTATAAATTATGTAATATCAATATAAGTATAGACAATTCAATAAGAAATGCAACTTTTCTTGTTTATGTATACATTTACTGAATAAAAATGCCAAACCTTTTTCATCCGTGTACACACTGATTCCATGTAGATTAAAAGAGTCTTTGTCAAAGTCTCCCTTGATGTTCAGTGCTTTAATTTTCAGATCAGAATTGAACAGATTCAGGGTATAAATCTTTCCAGGGTCATCTGAATAGGATGGTAAACCTGGATATTTCAAGCCCTGTGTTTAATTAATTTGAACATATTTCAAAATATAGTTGCATAAACAGTCAAATTCATTTAATAAAATTTAGCATCTATGTACTTCAACAATCATGCGCTTTTAGTAAAAATGACTGTCGCTAACGTGAGATTAAATGGGTGCATCATCATCAGTTCTAGTCAAAATTACAATTTACAAAATTACAAAATAAAATGACTATTTTCATTCTGGAAACCCTGTATACATGAATAACAAATCAATACTCAGTAATGATTTTGCTGTCTATGACATACAGTGCTCAGAAAGGCCAATCCATCTTTAAGTATGGTGATATCTTCAGCCCCATATTCTGTTTAAAACCAAAATAACACACGACAGTTCTCCACAACATCCACATTTGCAGTGTCAGAAACACACATATGCTTCTTCAAATGTATTACAAAAATGCTCTTTACTCACAGAAAAAAAGTATAAAAGCAAAACACTTCAAAACGTACACCAATAAAACATTATTTTACATGAACCTAACATTTATAATTGAATAAGTAACACTGCATTAGGCCCAAGCTAGTAAATTCAGTCCAGCAAACCGACACGTTACCAGAAAAAAATCTCTGTTTACTTACGTATGCCCTCTATATGGAGACAGTTAGGAAGGTAGTTCTGGGTAAGTTCTCTGTAAGAAAGTGATAAATGCCTGTGGAGAAGACAAAACGACATATATAATAAATATTGCTATGATTATTGTCATGTGCAGTAATTATGTAAACACCAACTATCATGTCAGTAAGTAGCAGCAAAGATCAGAACAACGTGCAGTCAAATAAAAAATTTTTTGTATTCAGGCAACAGTAATCGCAGGTCATCGTTATATAAATACGATAGGACCAAGCTGCAACCTCCCGCTCTCGTGAAGCCAACACGGAAGTGATTTAAACTGTAATTCGTCAACTGGCCGCTAGAGGCTGGCTGCAAACAGGAGTCAATCCCATAGACTCCCCATGTTAAAATGCCCAATTTTACAGCAGAAAAAAACATTTATAGCCTGGTTAAAAAAATGATTTTGATCTATATAGCTAATTTTGCCCTTCATGACTGTGAGGGGGGTGATTTTTTTTTATAACTCATCCGTTTAAATTATATTAAGCCTTAATGTTCTGTATAATTAAGGGCGCGGCCACTTGAGTGACAGGTGGATTGCTGCTGCTGTCACCACCGTCGAGCTAGGTGGGCAGCAACCAGCTCCCAGCTCCCGCCTCTTTGCCCATTTTCGATTATCCGGGAGTGACGTATGGATAGAAACCAACCTTAATGTAATGACACTTTCTCCGATCAAAACTGCAAGAGCTGCAACAGCAAGCAGCAAGCTACTGTTAACTTACCCATACTGTCTGAAACTATTAAATCTATCTACTCTATTAACCCTTCAGTGTTGCCATGTCTGCTCATTATGCGCGATGTATTTATTTTATTTTATTATTTTTTAT